GAGTCATTGATTTTGTACAATAAATACTCTTATACCCAAAAGCCTAATGAGTATGAGCATAACCCAACTTTAAAGGAAAGTTTTTCTGCATGTTTTTCTAACCAAGTAATTATGCACTAAACAAGTGGATTGAAAAATAAGAATAGCAACAAGTTTATTGTAATAACAGAATAGCAACAAATTTATTGTCCCAAAAAAAATTATAATCATGCACTGAAAAACAACCTTTCGTCAACAAAAGAATGGCACAAATTTCCATTGATAAAGTATAAGATAACAGATAGTCAGTATCTAACTTGTTTTGTGTTTTTAAGTAGTTAAGTTACCTTGTGTTAAGGTAACTTAACTACTTTTTTGTAGCAAAATATTTTATAATTGTATTCATTTTCATGTTGTAAAGAATACAACTTTCTACATCAGATGAGATATATGTTATAGAAAGCATTAAAAATAAGAATAGCAAATCATACTGCTCTTCATTGCCAGAACCTCCGCCACCTATTATGAATAAGCCCAATGATAAAAGTATAACACAAATATCATATTTTTTTCTTAATAGTTTATAAACTGAAATAGATTCTTGTTTAATTTGATCTGAATAATATCTATCTAGCTATTAGTCTTTTTTATGTATTACTAAGATTTTCCTTTTATTTTAACTATTTGGGTGTCCTATTATATGTAATGTTGTTAAATTGGTTACATATATTTATATGATTGACAACATTCTATTGTATTAAATAATCTTTTAATCAACTTGGTATGAAAATTGAAAATTGATTGAAAGCATGCTGAAATTGTTTAAATTCAGAAATTGAAAGAACAAAATTGGTTGAAAAATTAAATTAAGTAGCAGGTATGGTTGAGGGATTATTTATAGTTCTAATTATAATTATTTCTTTTGAATGGATTTGTTATCAGATTCAAGGATTGAAAAAGATAATTTTTTTTCACATTTTATTGATGAACAGAATAAAATTAAGCAAAGTCATCATTGTCAAAGAGTTTCAAGTTTTAATATGAGTATTTTTGGTTTTTACACCACTGAATGTTAATGTGAAGGTCTTTTTTATTAATTTGTTTTTGTATTAAAATAGTTGTAAAAGATAGGTATAAAAGAATAGAAATGGATTATTTATAATATTGTGATCCGATAAATCATGTGTGTAGCATTTTACCTTTAGTAGTTAAACAAAATTCTTTAATATCGTAACTTTTTACAGGATAAAGTTTTAGCTAATTTAAAAAGTAGGTTTTCCAAAATATTATGGCAACTTCTGCGATGGAGTGATTAAAAAACTTACATGTATTTTTGGAATTTTAGTTTAAGTTACTCAAGCTTAATTTGAATTTTAAAGTTCTTATTTCATTGTTTTGCTATTTGGTTTTATGAGCTAAACATAATTATCAATTTTTTTATTCTTGTTTGTAGAGATGCAAAATTTTATTCTCAACGAGCTTGCAGAAATAAAAGTTCTTTTAAAAGAAGTTATAGAAATTAAGTTTCAGGCTACTGGGGTGAAGTTGCTAGAATCAGTGGACGAAGTGGTTACACTGGATAATAAACTAAAAGATAAAACCGAGTATACTAATTTGGTATAATCTAATTATCTTAATTTTTAATAAGTTTGTTTAAATTTGGTTTACTAGTTTAGAATCTAAATGAAAAGTATTTGTAAATGAACTAAAATAACTAGCTTGTGTTAGACTCAATATGTTGTAAAGAATATTAAGTTACACTAGTTTTTATTACATTTATTTCAGCTTGATAGTTTGAAAAAGATTGGTGGTGGAAAGCCAAGAGAACATGTTTTTTTTTATCATGAAAAGGTAAATGATTATGTTTTTATTAATTATTAGAAATATGATTAAAAGGGACCAAAAGCAATTCATTTTGATCGTTATTTGTTATGGAGTTACTTTTAACATGACAATTTGATAATTTCGGGAGCTTCACTGTAGGTGTTTAAGTTTGTTTGTGTGCTAAAGTAAGTGTAATGCTAAACCTTGTTTAGCATTTTATTTTCGAATTTAATGCTTTTACTTTTCATAATTTTAAGCATTCATATATTGAAATATATTTTAATTTATTACCTATATTAAAATAAAAATCTTTATAAATATATTTCAGTTTATTGTTAAAATATTTATCAGGTTATTTTCGAATCAGTTACAGTCCAAATTTAATTGAAAAGGTATTGGGGAAAAGATAAGCATAGAAAATCTAGTAAATATATGGAGTGTTATACGAGGTATAGTTTTAATAGTATTTACAAAACTGATATCTGTATTAAAAAGATATTCTTTGACTTTTTTGTGTCATGCTAAAATTTTTGTATCCGTAATGCAAGTTCCTTTAGTTTTTTCATAAAAAAATTTTTGTTTATTGTATCTGGTTGAGATACAAATCTTCTTGTTTATATACATATATATATATATATATATATATATATATATATATATATATATATATATATATATATATATATATATATATATATATATATATATATATATATATATATATGTATATATATATATATATATATATATATATATATATATATATACATGTATATATGTGTATATACAGTATTGGACAAAACATTTGCAACCAACATCGAACAATGCTAAAAAGTGTTCCTAATTTTATATGTCTTAAAAATAAAACGAACTATACTACCACAGCAAACAGTTCAGGAGTCTGGAGTCATAGCATGCCATGATATGAGCAATCAGCTGACAGGTGACAGCACACAGGCAGAATTTCGTTGACAAGTGCCATTTTGCAGCATACATATATATACTGTGAAGCATGGTGGAGGCAATGTAATGGTCTGGGGGTGTTTTTCTGCTAATGGTCTAGGTCCAATACATCGAATCGATGGAATAATGGACCGTTTCATGTATAAAAATATCCTGAAAGATGTTATGTTACCTCATGCTGAATGGAATATACCAATAAAATGGGTTTTTCAGCAAGACAACGATCCCAAACTCACTGCAAAAGTAGTCAAGCAGTGGTTTCAACACAACCATCTAATGGTGATGGATTGGCCGCCTCAATCTCCGGATCTCAACCCTATCGAGAACCTGTGGGAGATTGTCAACCGCAGAGTTAATCATGAATGTGTTCGTAATAAGGATCAACTGTTTGAACAAATCCAAAAGGCCTAGGCAACAATTCCACAAAGTTTTATTGATCACCTGATCGAATCTATGCCTTAAAGATGCAAGGCTATGATCGACAACAAAAGATTCACCACAAAATATTGATATGAATACAGCTTGGTCAACATTTTGTGGAGTTGCACTTGTTTTGTCCAGAAGGAAATCAACTTTTTTTAATACTTTTGATTAATTTATTAATTTTCGTGTACAAATAATGAACTTTGTGATGAATAAAATTTGAAGAACGTTGTCTCTAAACAGTTACATAGTTATTTCTCTAAATTGAAAAAATACAGCACTTTTATACAAAGAAACTAAATTAGCATCATTTGGTTGCACTGGTTTTGTCTGATATATATATATATATATATATATATATATATATATATATATATATATATATATATATATATATATATATATATCGGACAAAACCAATCCGATATATATATATATATATATATATATATATATATATATATATATATATATATATATATATATATATATATATATATATATATATATATATGTATATATAATATTTCATAAAAATAGATTCAGAATTCTACATGTCTTTTAAAGTCATTTAAATGTCATTAATGTATATATTTTAGATATCGGCGACGTGGAAGAAAATGTTGACGGCAATGCAGAAATATAGTTTCTTATGTATATTTTTGTGAAATAAAAATTAAGTAATGTTAGTTAAAATGTTTCTTTACTTATTTAATTTAATCCTTTTTTATGACTAATTTAACCGCTGTAACACCTTTGTATCAAACAAGTCCCAGCAAAGAAGGAGATATCTAAAATGCATCTAATATGCATCTAAAAACTGGTTTCAAAGACGTCTAAATTCACGTCGTGAATGGGACATAAATAGATGTCTATCTTAAAGATGTCTTTTAGAAGCATTTTATTCGACACAAATAAATGCCTTAGATGCATAAAAGATGTGAAATATACATTTAAAGATGTATATTAGATGTATATTAGATGCATAAAAGAGCTATTATTAACTAAAAAATTATCTATTATCTATCTTTTTTAAACGCGCCTTAGACATCTATTTAAGAGACGTATTTTATACATCTAATATGCATCTGTAAGATGTTTATTTCACATCTTTTATGCATCTAAGGCAATTATTTCGAATAAAATGCATTTAAAAGACGTCTATAAGATAGACGTCTATTTATGTCCCGTTCTAGACCTGAATTTCGACATCTTTTAGATCAGTTTTTAGATGCATATTAGATGCATTTTAGATATCTTTTTGTTTGCTGGGTTGCTGGGAAACGTGTCGTTGCAACACAACTGTCTTGCAAATAGGTTATTTTTTTAAACGTATCCTTATAACACAATAAAAAAAATATTAAAAATTTCGTATATTGGAGATTTTTAGTGACATAAAAGTTTTCCTTCCCCTGTTTTAAAGACTGTGGAAAAGTTTTTTTTTTCTTAAATATTTAAATCTATTTCCGTATTCTAAATTTAGGAAAGATACGTTAACATTTATTATAATACTTTTCTTTAGAAACAGATAATACGCAAAATGATGCGTCGAAAAGTATTAAAGTTATACAAAAGAAGAGAGTTATATTTATATTTACCGTAGTTGTAAATATTTGCTGAGGATTAATTTCTCTTTAATAATAGAGAGATACTAATTCTCATTATATGGAGATTCTAATCGCTATATAAATTACGTTGTAGTGGTTTTTAAATTTTATCATAAAACTAAAAGCAACGTAAATAAGCGTCGGAAAGTATATAAAACTGAAACTTTTAAATAAAAAAATATTAGTACATATTTAAAGATTTAAATTCATATATTTAGATAAAACCCAGAGTCGTAAATATAATTAAACTTAAAGAGTTGTATATATAAATATGGCTTTAAATGATTTGGAATGGTTTAAAAAAAAAACAGTATGCGACGCTATTGAGCGCTTTCATAGATCTAAAGCAACTGTGCCGAACATTAATAGAGCAAAAGAAGATCTTAAAGAAATTATGAATTTGCTTGAAGACTATTTGAAGGAAAACCACAATTTATGTGACAAAGTTTATTACGCAGGTCAGCTTTTTATTTTTTATTTACTCTTTTTTATTGTCTGCATTGCTAACAATAGTTTATTATTGAATGAAGATTTTCAGGATAATCAATCAATTTTGTTTTGATTGTTAATCAGCCAAAATTAATCAAAAAACAAACACGATTTTAGAGAAAAACCTGTCACAGTTGAACGTCAGCTGAAAGCAATTTGTAGCGCAAACTGATCATGATACTAAAGTTTAAGGACAAAAGCTAATTACGGTTAAACCTTAATAAGCGGTTAAAGTATTTATTACAAAACTTCTTCTTCTCACACTTTTTTTCTTTTTTCCTATAAAAATTCAAAATATTGAAAAATTCGATATTTTTGTATTTAACTAAAAATAGCGGACAAGTATTATCATAAAGAATAAAATCTTTATGAAAATAAATGAGATATAATAAATCTATAATATATAAATAAATAAATGATATAATAAAATAAAAGATATAATAAATCTATAATATATAAATAAATAAATGAGATATAATAAATCAGGGTTTAAAAAAAAAATCAGACCTTATATTTATTTTTTTATCAATCCAAGTTTTGCCAGACGAGTTTCGTATATGCTGTTTTAAGATAGTCGATGTAGCATCATTCCGCACATATTTTAGAAACATTATTAAACAATAAAAATAAAAATAAAAACACTATTAAATAAAAAAACTTTTTAGCCGTTATCATTGTGATATTTTAAAGAACGATAAAATTTCATGTACTTCTGCATTATTTTAATTGTTTTAACTTTTAAACGGCATTAAAATGTAGCTTAAGCGTTTAGATCGCTTAAATGTTGTCGAAAGAGACTTTTCAACATCAAAGTTGCTTTTGACTACGATATATATATATATATATATATATATATATATATATATATATATATATATATATATATATATATATATATATATATATATATATATATATATATATATATATATATATATATATATATATATATGTATATATATATTTTTTTTTTTTTTGTTATCTCCAATTAACTCATATAGTTAATTGGAGATAACAAAAAATTGTTGGAAATATTAAAAAAAGCGATTATTAAAGGAACCCGCAAGATTTAATTTTAAAACCCTCAATAATAAACGCGTGTTTTTTAACACCCTTTACACCACTTTGAAATTTAAATGGAAATTTTAGGTAGTGCATTCGAATCTTTAAACATTGCCGAAGAAGTACCCGAGTTTGACGTCATGCTTGTTGTTAAAAAAAAACAGTATCTTAAAATAATTAACCAGTCTAATGGATTTTGTACTATCAAGTGCACCAATAAGATGGTATGGTATCCTGTTGATAAAAATGGTAATCTTGTTGCAGGTAGATTTCGACATGAGTTTAAAGGAATTGTGCAAAAATGGGTGAATGTTATGACTAAAGAAATGAAAAAAGAAATTTGTGTAGTAGAACATGGCGTAGCAACACAAATTGATGTTTCACGAAATGGTAACTTGTGGTATCATGTTGATTTAGTTCCATGTTTTGAAGTTAGCAGTTTAGGTATGTTTTTTTTTATTTATGCGTTTTAACATATATACATATATATATATATATATATATATATATATATATATATATATATATATATATATATATATATATATATATATATATATATATATATATATATATATATATATATATATATATATGTATACACACTCTAATAACTTGTGTTGCAACCGGGACTCATCTTCTTACGAGCGCAAACTATCAAATAGTTTCTACGTTGTATTAACCATAACACTTTGTTGTAAGTTAATTCTAAACTAATATTCTTAATACCTTTTTTTTTTTCAATTTTTAAGTTAAATATTTTAAAACTTTTTATACAATACCTTACGGACATTTGTTTTTAAAAGTTACGTTCTAAATGTCTTTTAAACGTCTTTTAAACGAAATCTAAACATTCTAACGTAAAGAATAACATACATTTAAAAGGCATTTAGAACGTAATTTTTAAAACAAATGCTCTTGGGGTAATCTCAAAACAAAACCATGTCACTCCCTGTTGAAAAACTTTCCTTTAAACTAGAATTACTTAAAAAACTGTGTCAACTTCTATTAAGGTAATATTTTAGTAACTGTTATCTAGGTAACAGTTTAGGCGTTAAAGAAGTTGTGTTTTAATATTAGTAACTTTACGAAATCAAAACACTACTGCAAAGAGAACGTAGAAACTATGATTATAAATGTCGTCGTTGTTGTAGCCGTTTTAAGTAAAATATTGAGTGGCCTATAACTTAATCTAATTTTGAAATTTCGTAAATTATAGGTTATGATTTTGTTTTGGTTATGGTATGATTTTGGTTATGGCATGATTTTGGTAGGCTATGATATACGTTTTTGTTTTTAAAGCAACAACTTTTGCTTTTTATATTTACCTAATTACGTTATGTATTTTGAATATTTTGTTGTATAAACTAAATTTGATTGATAACATAAACTAAATTTGATTGATAAACTAAATTTGATTGATAAACAGCCTTGGCGCAGTGGTTAAAGCGGTGTCTTCAGAATCGAGAGGTATAAGGCTCAACGAATACTTGGAAAACTTATTGATTGTTATTTTTTATTTTTTTTTAAATTTCTTAGTTAAAAAAAACAATGTTAAAAATACAGACCAGATTATCGGTTGAAAATTAATTTATCTCAAATCGGTTGTAAATAAAAATCTATAAGATAAGTTGAAAAATAAATTGGTTAAAAACAAAATAGACTGTAATCGGTTAAAAACAATTTAGGCCTCAGTAGGTTATCTGAAAATTAGTTCCACTCTTTAGTTGATGTTCTTTTTGTAGAACAATTTGGTAGGTCGAGCTTTTTGTAGGTCTAACTAACTGATAGGTTACGAAAATTACTAAAAAAACGTCACTTCATGTAATTTTGTATTGTTCTGTATATTTTTTTGTATGATTTTTTTTTTTGTATAAAAATCCTTATTGTTTTGAAGTAAAAAATTCGACATTAAAACAAAGAAACGATGTTTAAAAGTCTTTTTAAATAAATATGATAAAATTATCCCAGGTTCGTTATCAGTTACGTATTTCTCATTCCGATAACATAATAAGCGATGACGAGCTGTTATTACTTTACGACATTAATAAATCTAATAACTTAAATTTGCTTTATCAACAGGGTTGTCCCGAAGACGTCTTCCTGAGGGGTGTTGTATGAATTTTTTGCTAACTAGAGACACCAAAATAAAAAAAGGTCCTCAATATTTCCAATTTGCCAACTATAGTTCTTACCAACTCAAATGCTTATATTACGGCTTTGGGGAGGGGAAGACACCCTCTTTCGGGACGGCCCTGTTTATCACGCCAATTTTTGAATTAATAATTTTGAAAAGATCATTTCCAAAACAAGTTGCTGAAAAATTATAACTCAAAGTGTTATAAATTTACCATGTAGTATTAGATTTCCTCGTTCACTTGCATATATTTTTTCTTATGTTATCTATAATATCTTTTTAAGTCTCTTAATATACTATTACCAAAATTATATAAACTTTTTTGTTAAAAAAAAAATTAAATTTAAATTTTTATTAAAAAAAATCTTGTTATACATTCTATAGTATACCGGTTTTTGCATTTATTCTGGTGGATTTTTGCACGAATTAGGTGGTTTTTTTCTTTAATCTGGTGGTTTTTTGCATTTAATCTGACGGTTTTTTGCATTTAATCTGGTGGTTTTTCATTATTATGATAAATAGTTTTGTTTTTATTGCTTCATTTAATTTAATCTCCTTATATACAACTTCACCCCGTTTTCTCTTCAATTTTTTAAAACTCTAAAATGAATAACGCTCGAAGACAATGCTCAGAAACTAATGTTGAAGTAAGAAATTTGATCATTAAACTTGTAATTAACGAAGGGAAAAGTGTAAAAGAAGTATCGGATCTCGTTCATAGAAGTTAGACTTTAACACGACGCCTGGTCCATCGATATATATCAACAGATAATATCAATCCTGTTATTAGAGGTGGTTTTCGACAGTCAGGTTGTAGTGAAGAAATAAGAAATAGGCTACATGAGTTAATTGGAGATAACAAAAACTATAATCTACAGGAGATAAAGGTAGAATTGGGAATTGATGTCATTGTCTCTACATTATGGCGATGGTTAATAAAATTGAATTAAACATACAAAATTTTAAGACCCATTAGTGAAAGACGCAATACTGCAGAAGTAAAAGAAGAAAGAAAAACATATGTTTCATGGTATTTAAACTTGACATTGCAACAATGTTCCAGAAATATCATTTATATCGATGAAAGTCCGTTCAATCTTTATATGATAAAAAACTACGGATACAGTTTCCGAGGAATGACCCCAAATCAACGTGTATTGTCATCAAGAGGCCGTAACATAATTGTGATATTAGCATTAAATTGTTAAATATAGTACACAGTGAAGCAATAATTGGCGTAGGGGTGACAACAGATATCTTTAAAGGGTTCTTAAATACATTTAAAAGTATTTGGGGGAAGGAAGAAGAGTTTACCTTGGTGATGGACAACGTTAAGTTTCATCTTTCTTTATCAAATTTTTTTGATAGTTATCCCTATGAAATTCATTTTTTACCTCGATACTCACCTTTTTTAAATCCTTGCGTTGAAACATTCTCAAAAATTAAGAATACTACAAGAGGACAAATAGCCCCATTTGGAAATAACGGTTTGTTAGAACGAATGAGGAACGGTTGTGAGCACGTTACTGAACATGATCTTTCAAACTTCGTGAGACACTGCGAATCCTTTCTTACGCAATGTGTTAATAGAAATGACATTAATAGAGAAATAAGTCGTAGTTTTTTAAAATTTATTTTTTCGAACTTGTATATTATTGTTATTAGTATTATTTTTATTAATATTATTATTACTTAATGCTATTAGATTTTGTTACACACCTAAATTTATTTTTAACTGGAATATGTAGAATATTTTTTATTACTAATCATTTAAACAATTCTTAACATGCATTATAAAATTGTTATACATTTTAAAACCGCCAGATTGAATGCAAAAAACCACCAGATGGAATGCAAAAAACCATCAGATTAAATGCAAATAACCGCCAGATTAAATGCAAAAAACCACCAGATTAAATGAAAAAAACCAACAGATTCGTGGAAAAATCCACCAGATTAAATGCAAAAACCAGTATTTTTTTTTTAGGAAATAGAGACAAAATAGTTTGGTGCGTGCCAAAACCGATTGACGAAAATAAAGATCTATGGAGGATATCTTACTCTCAATATGAGACTCAGGAAGCTAATAAACTTCATGCTAATGCAAAAATGTGTATTAGAATCGTTAAAACTTTATTTAAGTTGGAAACAAATGGATTGTTTAAAAAATTTACTTCTTATCACATTAAAACAGTTGCGTTTCATTTAAATAAAGAATCGTGGCCAGACGAAAGAAGTATTGGCAAAACTGTTTACGATTTTTTATTTAAAACGATGAACTTTTTAGAGCAGTGCAATTTGAAACATTTCTTTAATTCACAAATTAACATCTTGGATTCTAATAAAATTAAATATGAGCAACTGGCTAATACAATCCAAGGATGGTTAAGATCGGAGCAGTCTTTTATGAAAGTATTTGCATTTTAACTTAATTTAATTCACAATCAATAAAATTTACAAATTGTTGATAAAGAGTGGAACGTCAGGCCACTCCCCAGTAAGGACAGGAAGTTTTTAAAACGTTTAAAAAACTTAAAAAAACGAATATCAACGTTTTTTAAACGTTTTAAAAACGATCTGTGCTTACTGGGTCCGTGATGAAAATTCAGTTAGACTTTCAAATGAAAATAGTCTTTAGCTATCAAATTACAGCTAAGTGCTATAATAATAATAGTTTATGGGTGGGCACGGAAAAATCCAGTCAACTTTAAGAAAGATTTCTCTAAAACTTGAAATGCTTTTTATTACTTTTATTTTTTTATTTTTTTTTATGTTTGTATATATATTTGTCATTATTAATATAAATTTGTATAACATTTTACCGTAAAATATATGACTGGAGCAAGTAAAAGACAATAGTCTTATCATCTTGCCCCATTTTTGTCGTTGACAAAATATAACAAAATATAAACCAAATACAAATAGGTAATATAAAAATAAAATAAAATATTTAAAATACAGATGATTTTTTTATTATTATTATTACAATAAACATCATTAAATAACCAAGCAAGTAATATAATAGATTTTTAAGAAAAGTGAAGATTTAAATTAAAAAAAGGAAAAATTTTAAAATTTATAAAAAAATTTAAAAATAAGAGATTGTTTCATTAAAGCTGAGGTCTAGTAGCTGTTGCTTTACAATGCATGTAAAATGTTGGAATGAGTTTATTGTTTTTATTTTGTTTGTTAGAAATGAGTTCCACAATTGGGGTCCTGTGCTGGATATTGAGAATTTAGATTGTCTTAAAGAGGTTTTCGGAATATAGTAGTTCTTGTTATAGTATTTTTTTTTTGATATTTGTGATTAATAAGGCGAAAATAGTTATGGAAGACTTCAGGGACCAGATCATTTTTGAGTTTAAGCATGAACTGAAGAATGCAATATATATTTTGTTCGTAAATATTAAGAACTCTCAATTCCCTTATTAAATGTTTAGAATTCTATTTGAGTTTGTTAAATATGCGGCACGCTTGTTTTTGTTTTTTATAAATTAAATCTAGTTTTGATTGGTAGGTATTAGCCCAGGCAATATTGCAGTAGTTAATATAGTTATGTATATATGCAAAATAAAAATTTTTAAGGCATGCATTATTTAAAATATATCTGGTTTTATGCATAATTCCCATGTTTTTAGATATTTTGTTTTTTAATATATTAATGTGGTCTTTCCAGCTAATATGTTCATTTTATAATACCCCGAGAAATTTAATTGCGAACGCTAGATTTAGTCTAACTTTGTCTAACAGAATATCTGGAAGTTTTAATGATAGTTTATCAAAATTATATGGTTTTATGAAAAAGATATAATTACTTTTCTCAATGTTGACAGAAAGTTTGTTTGCTTTAAACCAATCGCTTAACTCTTCAAGTTCCTGATTTACTGTATTAAAAAGTGTAGTAATGTTAGAGTGACTATAGAAAGCTTGAGTGTCATCTGCGAAAAGAATACTGGAAAATAAAAATATGTAGTTTATATAGATTAGGAAAAGCAGAGGTCCTAGAATAGATCCCTGGGGAACACCACGTGTGGCGATTTCAAGGGGAGTATATGTTTTATTGTGTATGCAAGGGGAGTGTATGTTTTAATTAAGGTACCGTAAAACGGGTTTACTTTGAACGTTTTTGAGATATTTTTGCTTGCTCTTCCTTCACTTTTGATAATATTTGAAATTTAACAAAGTGAATATAGGGGCTAAGATTGACTCTTACATAATTCAAATTCAAAATAATATTTAAATATAAGGATTTTGTATAATATTAATTTAAATAGTCATTCAAAGTTACCCCGCAAATGAGGTAACTTTGAATGCGTTTTTTTTTAAAAGCAAAATCTATTCAAAAATGCCTTGTTTTGTTATAAAATTTAATAAAAACAACATTCTAGTTTCACAGTAATTTATAATTGCTAAAACAATATAACATTTTTTCATAACTAACACCCATTTAGTATTTTATTTTGTTTAAATGAGTATTTTTTAAGTGGACTAGCTTAAAAAAATTTCATTTACATCAGTTTCACTTCTAGACTTTGCAAGTGGAACATCTTTACATTTTGCCAAAAATCCTCAAAAGAAATATTTTTAACAAGATCAAAAGTAATTTTTTTTTCCTCTTTGAGTCTGCTTTTTCTTTTACATCAACATGAAAAAATTGTTAAAGTACATTAATTACTGTTCTGTGAACTAAAGTTATAACTATATGGCCAACGATTGAAGATGATACTTATATCTAATGGGTAACTCCCATATTTTTTTCAAAACCACTAAGCAACTAAGTTGTTGATTACCTTTTGATTTAACAAATATAATGATTATAAGTAAATAAAGAACAAAGAAGATTTATTTTTTGTAATAGTCTGTGCATTTTTTAAACAAAAGGTTTCCAATTGATCAAGTATTTTCTTACAATATTTTTTAAGAGATCAATAAAATGCAACATTAAGAGATTTCAATAAATGGGTAGAGTTACCAGTTATTGAACAAGATACTGTTTTCTTTTCAACAAGATACGATTTTCTTTAGTAAATTCAATTACTTTTTCACTGTAAAAATTACTTCGATTATAACTAGTAGGAATGTTCCTACAATCTGACAAAAAACAATAACAAACTAGTCTAAAAAGTGAATAGAATCAAAACCGTCCTGGCTTTGATTGTATTTTTGATTGCAAATAAATTAGGTGGTCCACTTCGGTTCTTGTTGTGCATAAATGGTCGGCTTTATAAACATAAACACAGGCAACTTGACCAGAAACACTAAACATGATTGACGTAACATAACATGTTGCATATTTGTAAAAACTTTGGACTTTCCATGTGTTTTCGGATTAAATTTTTAAACTTTATTATACAAAGTAACAACTTGGGTCCAATGAACATCTATTAATTTTTTTATCTAATAATATTTATTGTTACCACAAAATTATCATTCAGTATAATTTATATACTGCCTTGTATCAAGTTTTTTTCATATAAAAGTGGAATAGTACTACTATGAAACGCTAAACAAAACAAATTTGAAGATAAAACAGTATTTTCAACAAATGTAATTCAACATAATAATGAATGTGAAAAACACTAATATTTTTATACAAGATTTAAAAGTTTATTAGTGATCTGCAAAAACAGTATATACACACAGAAACATAAATATATATACATATATATATATATATATATATATATATATATATATATATATATATATATATATATATATATATATATATATATATATATATATATATATATATATATATATATATAACACACACATATACACACATACCCAGTAGTAGTACCCAAGAAACAAAAGTCAACTTTGTAAAAAAAAATTTAATAAAGTTTGATTATTATTCTTTTGTTCACAAATTAAAAAAAAAAATTATTTATTTTTTTAATACTAAGTTTTAATAATTTAGCATTATGTCGACCAAACCAGTTTTCTTTCCGTAACATCGCTATAACAACCGATATATAAACAAAATATTTGTAAAATGTTTACTTTATAAATAATTATGCAAAAGAGCTGAAATTTTTACATTTTGTTCTTCATAGTAATAAAATTCATTTGAGAGAAGGTTTTTGTTTAATGCATTTTAGCTCTTGAATTTTTTTATATTATTCTTTTTTGACTTTTTTGACAAAACATATTGCAAGGCAGATTTTTCACAACTTCCTAGTCAATAATTTTACTATGAGAACAAAGATAAACTTGTCAATGATCAATTTAAATATATTTGACAAGAAAAACTTGCATTCAAGTTGCTTGTGTCGCAAGCAACTTGTAGCTGGGATATGCAATCCTCTTGTTTTGTCACTAACCAGATCTTGATTGCGGATCTCTACATCAAAGAATGCCTCCAAAAGACTATTGTCATTTATGAAAAAAACACAAATACGGGTGTCTTTTTTGGCCAGATCTTGCTGCTTCTCACTATTCTCAAAATTTCTACAGTGGTGTAAAGATAATATTGTGAAAATTGTTCCTAAAGATGCAAATCCTCCAAATCGCCCTGAAGAGCGCAATTCAAGACTTTTCTTTGTAAAACAGATGGAGTAACAAAAAATAAAAAGGAGTTCCAAAAAAAGGTTTCCGAGGAAGTGAAGGAACAGCTTTTAGAAGCACAGATAAGATACCATGACATTTTTTTACTAACATATCAATATGTGGTCCAAAGGTTAAATGACTGTCGATGTGAGTACCAAGAAGTGGTTTCAGGTGTCGATGTGAGTACCAACAGTGGTTTCAGGTTGGATTTGCAAGGTATCAATAAGCAGGCCAGTATTGTCAGGCAGTTTGGTTCTACGGGATTTAATTAAAATAAATTGTGTTTTATCAGGGTTCATAATGAGACCATGTTCGTCACAGAATATCTTTATATTCTCATATGCATTAATAAGCTTATCTGACACTAATTGAAAAGTTTTAGCATCAGCAGAGAGAGTGATATTATCAGCAAATTGAAACAACAATCAACACAATTTGGTAAACTTTTAACAAATATGTTAAATAGTTGTGGACTGAGGCCACTGCCTTGCGGAAAACCATGAGTAACTTTTTTCCAAGGGGTGGTACAAAGATTCTCAATCACTCTCTGCTCTCTATCAGATAAATAACTTTGAAACCAGAGGAGAGTGTCAACATTGCACCCAACGGATTTCATCTTTTTCAGAAGAAAGTTGTGAGGAACTGAATCAAAGGCCTTAGAAAGATCAATCAGCAGAGTCCCCGCCATGTTCCCATTATCCAATGATGTTTTCCGTGATTCTGTTGCTGCTATAAGTGCTGTTTCACAACCTGAGTGTTTACAAAAGATATATTGCTTATTGGGAATTACATTAAAGGAATCACAGTAACTGATTAGTTGGTTAGATATTTCCTTTTCAAAACAGCGAGCTAAAATTGGAATTATTGATATAGGTGGATAGTTAGATGAATCATCACGGAAGTCTTTATTTTTCCATATAGGGATAATGTTCGATTTTTTCCAGATCTTGGGGAAAATTTTATTATTTAGACTAGAGTTTTATATTTTAGTCATGTTCGCGGCTATAGCCTGAGAAGTGTTTTTTAAAAGAAATCTAGATAGTTCGTCGAACCCAGTGGAAGTGTTTGATTTTATTTAGTAAGTCTGCGGTTTGTTCAGCAGTTATTTGTGAAAATTTGAAGCCGTTATAATTGGAACAGTTGTGGATATTAAAGTTGTTTAGATTAAATTCATCAGTGGTGTCTACAAAAAAGTTGTTAATTTTTTCAATATTTATAAGGTTTTCATTATTTTTTTTGAAAGTAAAGGTAATACTCCTAATGAAACTCCAGTTGTTCTTACAGTCATTCGAGGCCAGG